ATAACTGAAAGTAATTCACAGAATAAGCTCTCAAGCACAATTAAAAGGAACTAAAAGTTCAAAATTTATTTTCTGAAAAACATTCCTCATTATTTCATTAACATTTTTTGTGATCTTGACCATCACATCAGTAAACTTCTACATTACAGTTTCTGGGTACAAGAAAAGGAAAGATTTGAAGTGGAATTATTTAGAGGTATGATGGAATCTTTAAAAAAAGGCTACTTTTTGCAGTATCTGTTCAGCCAGTCACAATAAACAAATAAGACAGTGACACAGAGATACTGGGGCATCTTGTATTTAAAACCTCTTGTAAGTTTAAAAGACTTCTGTATCTCTGTACCAAACCACCTGTCTACATATTTTTTTATTATATGGAAGAAAGGTGGTCCTGTGGTTAGAGGATTAACTTGGGAAATCTGCAGTCAAGATTTCCTGTCCAGCCATGAGCTTTGTGTGTGGTCCAGAGTAAGGCCATGGCAAGCGATGACAGTGGCCACTGAGAGGCTTGGCCTGGCCTCACTGGGTTCAAGTTAACCTTCGTGGCTATCTCTTGTAGTCTCCCTACCTCAGTTCTCCACAAGCAGCACAAGAATAAAAGTAACTTTTGTCCCTCTGAGGATTAGTGTCAGAAAACGGGGACACAGTCTCTGGGGTAACCTAAGAATTAGAAATCATCTAAGAAATTAAAATATTTGTTACTGTGCCTGCTAATTACAGTGATAAGTGTCACTGTAGCAGTTCATTCTGTGTGGCCAAGCCCTGTGTCTGACTGAAGTCCCACCAGCTCCAGCCAAATTCTGCAGGTGTTTAACCACCCCTGGATGCTCTGGGATAGGGTGGACTGAGCCATGGCTCTGGCACAGAGGAGAGCCGAGCGCCCGCTGCCAACCCCTTGTCTGTCCTGGGGAAAATTTCCTGTCGTGCCTGTTATATGAAGCTAAAACCCATGGAAAGTGCACAGTGTTCAGACACTGACTGCACTGAGGAAGGCTGGATAATTAGGTAGAAAGACAGACAGACAGGAAAGTCAGGCCTTTATTTATTTTTTTATTTCCAGAACAGCTATATCCTTTCTTCCTTTCCACACATAAGGTCATAAAGGCATGATCATGCAATCAACAGTGATTGAATAACCATGAGTTACTGTCTGACACTTGAACTGTACCAATTAATCAAAAGCATGACTGCAACAACTGTGAAATAAAAATACATTTTTGTAACCTGCCCTTAAACTCCCTTACAGTTTACTTTGCAACTGGGGCAGGTTAAGAGCATTATTAGTAACTGCAACCTGGTTTATAGGTTTTAACCTTTTTCTTAACATCAACTCAATATCCTTTCCTGAAGAGAAAACAGTAATTTACTAAAACAAAAAGCCATTAGTGCGAGTTCTCTTTCTTTGCTTATATTAGAAGCTGCTAAGTGTTCAACTTGTGTAAAATAAATGTTTTCCTTACCTATAAAAAGGAGTTAAAACAATTTTTAAATAATCTATTTTTCCCTCTTTATTGTGTGCATGTACTACTTATTAAAATCTAAATTTAAATAAAAGTTCATCCTATCTTCCTTATTCATGTTTCTTTTACTATTTGAATGCCATTTAAACACGGCACATTTTTCATGTCTCTTGTTAAGACTGTGCTATTTGTTTTTGACATCTGAAGCAAATTTTTGCTTTACCCTATACACACCTAAAGTAAGTAAGACTGCGAGAAGTTTCCACTTTGCATAGAACACAGCACTTTCACAAAATGTTCATTTTCTAATCCATTAACATTGTTCAGCTTTTATAACCACCGGCTAGCAGAAAGTTTGGAATTAGTAGAACTCCAGTTTCCATGAGACTTGGAGTGAGCTGCCTGAGACCACGCATGTCAGATCTCTTGCTCCTGCCACCATGCCCTGTCACCTTTATCAGATTGCTTATTTGAGATATCCCTAGTGAAAAGAATAGGAATTTTTGGTGTGAGTGTGAAACTTGTAACCATGACAATACTTATCACCCTGAACTCTGTTAACAAATAAATGGTAATGGAAAAGCTATGAAATATTGTTCTTGGGAAAGGACTATGAATGCTTGGGTAAGCTTTTTTTTGAAGGAATCCATTGCATTTCTGCCTATTTTAACTAATGAGGTCTTTTATAGAATCAATAATGTAAAAGAGTTGAGATCAGTCCCATCCCTTGATACCTTTTCCCAATTAGAGCAGTGGATCATTGTATTAATATTATTTAGTGACTACTCAGCATTTTCACTCTGGTGAGATACTTTGCAAACATTAATTAATCCCCACCAAAGCCCTGAAACCTCACTAGGAAATATTAAACCAGTTTTACAAATAAGGGCCTGGAGCCAGATATTTTTCAGTACCAGAGAGATCGTAACTTGAAGCTCCTTGGGATAGTGAGCAGCTTCGAGAGTCCAGAATAATGAATGGCCCTACAGTTAGAGTTACCTTAAAGAATATCGTCTCTACTCTGCCTTGACTTGGGGCAATTATTCTACTTCTCAAGGAAAGCCCTTTCTGTGTTTTTTTCAGGAATGAATGTCTCTAGCAGTCCTTCAGACCAAGGCTGTTCATACAAAATAATTACATTGTCATTGCCATGTATATATATATATTTATACATAGAGAGGGAGAGAGAGTCCATTTCCATAGCCCAGTGATTAGGGTGTCCACCCAGATTCTAACAGTTTGTACCTTTTTTTACTAATATTATGTTCAGTTCATGAATTTGAACTCAAATCTTCGAGTAATGGACCACAACACCGGGGACGGACGGACAGACAGATATGTCCCAGCTGTCTGTAGAGGAGTTAATCACTAGCACAGCTCTAACTACAGAGCTTGTCTACACTGAACTTAACCGACTGTCCCAAACTTTTATCCTCCATAATATGCTCCTTCTTGTTTTACAGTGATTCTCTCTAAGGGAGAATGGGACACCACATGTTTTTACATTACTGATGGGATCCAGTCCACCTATTTTGACCATCTACAGTTTGGCAGCTAAGTCAGGAGGACAGGATTTCCTTCTGAAAATATTAAAGCCATCCACCTCTCACCATTCATTACCTAGCAATCTTTGGTACTTTCAGAGGACTCCAATGGAGACCCAAAATTTATGCTTTTAGCATATTCTTTTTTTCAGTCCTCTGGCCATAAATAGCTGAAGGTTTTGAAAGCAGCTTAGTTTCTTTGTAGCCTGGTTGCAATTTTATTCTTGGTTTTTACTTTCCTGTTCCTCATTTCTGTTGACTAATCCATCTTCTTCCTAATCAGGGTGCTGGATGATTGATCAGTTTAGCACATATCTTTGTGTTAATCTTTGATTACCTATTTCATATGAGGGTCCTTACTCCTGTAGACGCCTGATATTTAATACTATTGACTTATACATCATTTACTCCGGCTTCAGAAATTCTGCAGTTCTTTCTCAGCCAAATGGGAAGGAGAACAATTTTGACATACTTCTAGGACATGATTCATCTCACCCTAAGTTAAGCCTCTGAAGTAGGCCAAACCTGCTATGTCCTAGAAAAATCTATCACTCTTTATTGACTCTAAAGGAAGTCCAGATATCTACAGTTTAGACATCTACATCTGAATTACTTTCCAACTGTTAGATGAGATGAATTCTACCCTGGGGCATCTGAACTCCTTCCTGTGTGCTCTGAAATGGAGCAAAAATGCCCACGAAAGCTGAGAGATGTGCTGGTTCCATGACTCCTCCATAGGATTCACTTGTGAGATTCCCAGGAAGCCTCATGTTTAACCATATCTTCCCTCTTACGCTAGTTTAATTAAGGCAGAAACTGCCTTGAAGGTTCTTCAGTCTCTTCCTTAACACATCCTTCTGTCTGATCTTTGGAACTTATCCTGTAGCTTTTTTTCCCTTTTTTTATTGGACGAAAAAGTCCAATACAGATATTTTTACACTGAATGTTCATGGAACTCCCTGACTTGAGTGTAACTAAGTGGCAACACTACTTGTTTTAGAAAATCCTGTTCTAAGAGATTATTTAATCATAATGACATCCCCTACCTGAATTCATACTCCTTGTTCAAACTGCTTGGTCTTTTTCCTTAATATAGCAACTATGATTTATCTTCCTATAAATATGCAACAATAAGGTCAAGGTGAGAGTTTATAATGTTCTTGTCAAATACAAAAATATCCTAATAACACAAAATAACCTGTTGCAATGCATTAACATGAAGATATGCATAAAAGGAGAAAAAATACTGTTACACTGACTTCTGAAATCTAAGTATGCTCACTTTGAATAAAGAGAGCTTTAACTAGCAAACACACAGAAACCACATTCCATATTTCTCTTCCAAAAATAACCACATAAAGTAATTGCATATAAATCAAAATTTTGATGGATTTCAAATAAAACAGTGACAATCTGAATATGAAATTCCGGGAACAGAAGCTCAATTTTGCACAATCTAAAATGTATAAATCTGGCTACAGGGAAGCCAGTGGGACATTTTACTACTAGCTTTGTGAGACAGAGGTAGCAAGCTTTCACTCATGGGCTCTATGAGTTTCTGATTTCTTGCTTCTGTTATTTCTTAAATTTAAAAGGTAACATCGAAAACTCTTTCTGCAATTATTCTGTTTTCTAAGGGGTAAAACAAAAATTTAAAAAAAAAAAAAACAAAACAAAAAAAAACAAAAGAAGGAAAGTTGATAATTTCCTTGAACATCTTCTTTTGAATTCTTGGTTGTGTTGTTGTTACCCAAATCAGATGTTTTTCTGCTTTCAGTTCTCTAACCTTATATAGCAGGTGAGACATTCCCAGAAGGATTGGACTGAGAGGTTTTTGGCCACTCTCATTAACACCGCCTGGTGCCATGCCTGCCATGGGCTTTGTGGCTGGAGAAAGGCTGTACCACAGAGCAGCCTCCTCCTCCTCACCCCCACAGCTGCACCCAGCCACTGGATGTATGAGCAGTACAAGTTATCTGAGAGATGGTATCTGTACCTAGCTCCTCCTCTGGCGTCCCTGGAAAACTGAAGCCCGACTTGAGCAGATCGCCACCCTCTTCTTCTGAAAAGACAGAAACAAAGTAGCTATTTATTAATTCTGATATTTTTGTATATCCAGACATAAACTCTCGACTAGTTTTTAAATCCACTCAGTGATATCTATTACCATTCAGTATCCCTGATACCGTGAAGCTGTTGAGGTGCTATTATCTGCAGTATCTATTCCGCTTTGCCAGTTGTTCTAGTGTTCTATTTATTTTTTTTAATTTTGCCAGATGTTTTTACATTATTGGTGTCACAATATTCATAAATGCCTTTTTTTCAATCATCTTTTACACTGCTCTTTTCAGCTTTGCTTAGTCACATTGAATTCTACTGCCTTTTAGCCTTAATGTATTTATTCCAGGAAGAATCATTACTGTCAGTCCCCCAGTTGTACCTTTAGCACTTCCCACCGCTGAGGATAATAATGCCACTCATGATTCCCAGGCCACTTTCTTTACCTTTTATTCACGACCATTTCAACTCTGCAATTCTGAACTCTGATAACGCTGTGATGGTGACTTTCTCCTATCAATAACATTTACTTTCATGCCAGAGACAACTTCTGTAATTCTGGAAGAGTACTTAAGCTCAGATGATATGCCTACGCTGTACGAACGCAGTGAGGCACGCAGAAACCTGCTGCATGGCCTGAGTGCAGCTCTGAGCTACCCTGCCTATATCGCTTTCAGAGTTGCAGCTTGTTGCCTCTGCATTGCGCTCTTGTCATGCTGGCATAGAAATTAATTTGGACCTGGCACCTAGCTCAGATATTTCTAACACGGCACTGCATATGGCAAATTGGGTCAATAACACTTCCTTAAGGTACAAGATTAGCTTCAGAATACATAGATTAGGATACAAAATATCACAGTAATATGTTTCATGTAAGTACACAGTACTATATATTTTTTTTTTTTAAATGTTTTTTTCCCTGTTATCCATATTTGCTGCTGTCTCAGCTGAGTGGAAGTTGTTTGAGTTTATACAGCCTTCCACTGCACCCTTTCTTACCATCTGTGTTACAAGCACAGATACCTCAACAGCGAAAAAATGGAGTACTCCATAGCCTCCCACTATACGTTCAACCAGCAGTTCTTCAGAAAGACAAAAATCACGTATTGCAGCCCATGCTTCTGTAATGCACGACTGAGGACTGGTGACTTCTAAATAACAACTCACATCAGCTCATGTTCCTCAAATCCTCAGGCAGACATTCCCATAAGTTTGAACCACCTCAGACTTTTCTTAAGTGTACCTCAATCCCTGTATCAGACAAGCTGGTTTTTTGTGGTTCAGCTTACAACAGACACGCTGTTTTGCCTGTTTTAATGCTCCATTTAACAAATACATGCATTTTATATATTTCTTGGTCTTGGTTGCACTTTTTATTTGTACTATGATTTTTTTCCCAAGTATCTCACAGCAAGCAAAATGAGTGAATATGCTCATGTAGATAGTCTCAAACAATTGTGCCTGGTTTCGACAATTTGTGAGGTTAAGAATATACAATTGATAAAAATGAGTAGTATAGCACAGATACTGCATAGAAAATAAGTCCCTAGGATGTTAAGAATGTTGGATAAGCTGAGCTGTCAAATAAACATCTTGTTTACAAACTCAATTGTTAAATAAACTCACTCTGCTAAAATACAACCTACTAGAGATCTCATTAAGTGACGGATAAAAAGTCATACACAATTTAAAAAATGACTGGCATATGAATTCAAATTAAATTTCATTTGGAGAGGTAATGGGCAATTCTAATTAAATAAAAGCACAAATTAGGCAGTTTCCATGGAGACTTTGTTCACATGACCTGCCTATATTGTGTAACTCATATCCTGTCCTCTAATTTGGCTGCACAGGATTAATGACTCAAATGAAAGTTATAACAAAAATATTCTGAAGGATCCTTTATGTTCATGTAAGTAACTAGGAGAGACCTGGCTGTTGACTTCATAATAAAGAAGCTTTACTTTGAAACAGTAGTTTTGCATTTTTGAAAAAGAAATAATATTTTAATCTATTCCAAAGTTATATCATGTACATATATTCAGAAACACTTATAGAATGATCCAAAGAAAATAAAATGCATAACATTATTTCTCCCTTGCAAGAAGTCAGCATTATTCTCACAAGCTCTGCCCAAAACTAGACTAAAATTTTAGGCGTAGGCTAAACTAGACTAAACGTTTATAGGTTTGGCATGTTTCAGAAAAAAAGAAGAAAATAAATTTCCTTTTCAAATGAAAGGGAAAGGTCATGCAAAGGGATCCATAAATCTGATTCTGACTTTGCCCTAAGAATTCCTGTGCAAATTTGGGCAAGTCAGTTAATCTCTTTCTGCCTTAATTATCCAGTAGAATTAGGATTAGAATCCATTTCTTTCTTGTAGCTATCCCATATGAATACATTTATTAGTGTCAGTGAGCCTCTTGTCTAGAAGAGCCCACAGAGAGCACAAAAAAAGTTAGAATTTCCATCGTGCAAAAAAAGCTGTATTCTGTTTTGAATAGGGTCAAGTGCAAATGTTTCAAAGGAACTTAGAATTCCTTTTTAATTCCCTTAGGTTTGTGAATCTGCATGAGGGATATGAGTAGCTCTTAGTGATTAATTTACTTCCTAAGCATGAGGACTTCTTGTTTCTTTATATTTTATGACTTTAAGTATTCACATCACTAATTCATTGTTTAGACTCTCTTTTCAAAAGGCCACTGTCAGTTCCTTCAGCCCTTGAAGAGATTCAATTTTTGTATTCTGCACTTATGAAGCATAAATTAATCTGAAGTCTCAGTGTTCTTGCAGTATTACAAAGATGATCTTTGTGTGAGGTTGAACTGTACTTCAAAGTCATATTATTCCTTCAACAACAGACATACATGGTCTTTGTTTATTCAGTTTACATTTTTCCAGAAATTACCATTTTTCTTATTGACCATAGAAATGAAAAGCATATCCTTCATTCATGAGCACAGCAGCAACCTTCATATCTCATGGTAATGAAGTCAGACAGATTATCACAGAATTCTCACACAGGCTGAAATTCAAGTGTCATAAAATGCGTGCTTTCTTTTTATGTTATTGTCCTGCTCTATCTCATAGATCCATAGTATTTCAGCTTGTCCTTTGCTCAAGGTGGGCCTACTGGTAGAACGTTCTACACCAGTGGACATCATAGAGGAAAATGGTAGTCTCAGCATGGAATGTTTTGATGGGCAATGAATTGCAAACAAAAATGAGATTATGAAAATAGGATGATTTACAATTTAAGGTTTTAAACAATGTATGGAACACACAGTCTACAGACAAGGGAGACAATTACTAGTTAAAATCCCTTCTCAATATACAAACTACTGTATCGCAGACTGGTCTAAATAGAAAGCAAACACTTGCCTCTGAAACTGAAACTAAAAAATAGTGGGAGAAGTCTTCACTCTCAACAGCGCTCAAAATAGTGACAAAAAATGATAGGCTTTAAAAGTGCAGAGATGTCTGCTTCTGTGAAAGCTGAATGTATAGTAAAATGATGCTGTGATCTGCATAAATAGGAGAGCACAAACTGTCATTTACATTCAGTATCTCATTTTCTTTTTTAAAAATGTGATGGATCTGTCATGCATTCCAGTGCAACGCTGCACAGACGACACTCAAGACTGTGATAGGAACCTTTCACAGCCGAAGTTCTCCAGAATTAGGCTTGGAAATGTTAGGAGACATTGCTGGGCTGAAACCAGCTTGACAGATCCAGACGGATCATTCAAACCTGAGGCTACTACACGTGCAGTGGGAAATGACATGGGCCAGCGCCCAAGATCAAGCTGGCATGGCACAGCTTTTGTCCTCAGAACAGGCTGGATGTCTGTCAGCAATTTGCCCTGGCCTGTGCTGTTCCTTACCCTGCTAAGGACACATTACCTTGGGAAACGCTGAGGTGTCAGGTATATTCCTGATGAGTTACAAGTACGGAGGGAGCTTTAGCTTCTACTCAGTTTTCTGTGCCTAGAGAATACGTTATAGTCCAATGTAAACCCAAAATAAAACTGCCAAAGGCCACAGAATTGTATCTGTGTAAAACTTGGGGAAAGGAGATGCAGCTAATTTCTTGGGGGTCGATTTTGAATCGTGCCTGAGCTGACCTGGCTACTGGATTGCGGGTCAGCAGGGTGTTACTACGTCTTCTGGGTCAGGGAAGTGAAGTTTCTATACCAGCTAATGGACACATGGTCTTTCCTATCCTGTTCCCTACAGTCTGCCTGTGGTCTTGACAGTTGCTGCACAGAAACCATCTGATACCACTGCTTTTCCTCCGTTCAATAATCACTTTGCCTATCCTTCAAATTTTGTCATCTCAATTTTAACTTCTCCATCTACTTTCTGAGCCTGACCTATCAGTTTAAATTATCTTTCTTCACCTGCAAAGTCTTGCACCAAGATATGCCTCTATGTTGACCCTCATTTTTTTATACATTCATTCTGCCCTTAATAACCAGGCGTGCTGTTTCCATCTCCTAATTGTACTTCTTTCACAACCCCTAGCTATCCACAAAATAGGTGCCAGTCTCAGTGGACTTTTGCTCACATACTTTAAAAGGCTCACATCAGCGAGACTTATAATCAATTAACTGCCTTCTCCATCACAATACGAGAGTAAGACTGAACTACAACTGATATTGAACCTCTCAGTTTATTGGATTTTAATTTATTTATTATTGGCCTGCTCTGGACCTCACGCCGATTTTTTTCTATGTGTGCTTTTCTTTCAGCCTGTAAGCTCCCTACGGTAGCTGTTGTTCTTTTAGTTTTGTCTTATATAGCACCTGGCATATTAACTGCATCTGACAACAGATGAAAGAAAACACAGGCCCTAAAATGTCTGGATTAAACTGCAGGTGCAACTTCATTTGATCACATAATTACAGAGCATAAAATGTGTCCAGAATTTGAATACAGGACTCTCACCACATGACTTCATGTGCTGGGAAAACCAAATTTCCTCTTCCAGACTAGAGATGCCTA